TGCTCAACAGTGGTGAACATCAATATCTGCAGAAGTGGAGTTGATGCTATCCTAAAATGAAGTTAATCTGAGATATTGGTATTTCTTCTACCAAGGGGAAGCGAGAGCCTCCAAGGAAGGATTTAGTCTGGGGTGAGTTCTGGTTGTGAATGAGGATGAGGAAGGGTGGGAGGAGAGGAAAAGGAAGGGTGGCTGGGGCCTCAGTCCAAAGGGAGATATTTAAGGAGTGACAAGACTGCTTTACCATCTTCGCATTAAAACATATCCTTGCCTTAATGGCTGATATTTATTAGCTTTGCATTGCTGTGATAGCCCTGTGCCACATAAATACATATATTAAACTCTCAAACTCTTTTTGCTCTGCTCCTGGTGTATTTTATGTGTTTAACAAGGTTTATCCTTATGGTCTCACTTTGCTCAGGTAACTACGCTGCTTCTCCTCAGCCTGTCTGAAAATTCCCAGGCTCTGAATCAACAAGAAACAGTAGCTCCTGGTTTTAATTCACTACTCAGCAAATGCCAAAGACGGATGCAATTCTTACCGATGAGTCTGTGGAGCATGAAAATAACCAAGTTCCGATGACAGTTATGAATGAAGCTGCTTTTCAGATGGCCCTCTTGCAAATGTATGCAGGCACTGGCCATAATGCTGTAACTGCTGCATCTAATATGTGAATCAGCTCTGTTTGGGATGCTAATTGTGCTTCCTGAGCCGTACTGGCATTTTTCTGTGGAAGCAGCATGCTGGGAAGCAGATGAAAGCTATTGAACTGTACTGGTTCAGAGTGATAGATAGACCCTTCAAGCCAATAAAGAACCTGTTCGGTCAATACACCCCTCTGACTGGCTTAAAGCATGTTTGTATGGTCTGAGAGGCTCTTGGCATTAGCTGGCTGTCACTTAGTGGTTGAGAGCTCTCTTGGTGGTCCTCTTGGCTGAAGCTAAGCTGATAAACCCAGCCAGATGTCCTATAAACATGTGGTTGTACTTTTGCTTTTTTAAGATAAGCCAATACATAACCTTATGTAACCAAGTTTTAACAGAAGAGCTTTAATAGAATACACTTTTAGATAAATATATATATAAATATATTCCAGGCAATGGTTTGCTTGTTTCACCCTGTGGCAAAAAGACTTGAGTTGACCAGCCTGCTTTATGCTTTGAAATACCAAGAGCTGATGGGTGCAGAGGCTGGGGAAGTGGTGTCACCTGAGTTGCCAACCCAGAGTAGATCCCAAACCTTGGTGCCTGTGCTGCTGTGGCTTGGCTTGGTGAGGGGAATGGATCTGAAGACCCTGCCAGAGGTTGAGCAAGCTGATGTGATGCTTGTGGCTCCTACTGGCCTGCAGAGAAGAGTGTGATTCAGGGTGACAAGCTGCTGTTCTTTCCTCTGTGCTTGCTGCCTTCTATTTTTCTGACTGGAAATGTCACTATAAGTGAGAAAAACTCTGGGGTTTTTTTAGTGACTGTGTGCTGGATCTTTATGCTGGTTTACAGCATGAGAAAGGAAGATAAAACTAAAGTGTTTTGTGTCTGTTCCATTGATTTTATGTGTGTGGGTTCTGCATATACCCTCTGTAGTAAGTCTGGCACTTTGTCTGACTCTGTTTAATGGAGGAGCTTGGATTGACATTAGGGAACACAGTAAAGGTTTCTCTGTGCCATCCTCTGAACATAAACACTGGGTAGATCTGATCCTCCTTAGCTGAAGGGAGGATTCCCTTACCTGAAGTTTAGCAATGAATCAACCACATAGGCGTGCTTGTTTCTAATAGGAAACCACTAATAGAAAAACCTTTAATCAAAGCAGACTTGGCTCATTCTGCCTCTTCTCTTAGGAAGGGAATGATAGACTCCTTGAGAACATCTCAGCTGGCTCTAGAGGTGAACTGGAAAACCTGGAGGAGCTTTTAGATGTGCTGGAGCTCTGCGTGTTTGATTTCTGGCAGGGCTGACTGGTGCGGTTTTAGAGTGTTTGAATTAAGTGTGTAATGAAGCACTTTAAATTGTATCCCTCTAGGGGAGATGAGCTTGGAAAACATCAGGTGGAGAGTTTGGTGTGTGTCTGAGGATCTTATTTGGGCTTACTTCTTCCTTAGGGAGAAGTTAGGAAACTAATGAACTTAATGGGTCAGAAGAGCATTTAGATGTCTGGCACAGCAAGGCAGAGAAAGTAGGCATCCTCCTTCTAAGCATTGTGGTCTCTTCTCATCCTTTTGGGGATGTGTTTTTAAATAGGCTTCCTGGCCTTGGAGCTCTTCTGAGGGTTGACAGTGAGATTAGCTCCAATGCAGGGACTGAGTTCTTCTGCCTCGTGTCGTGGCTGTTGTTGAGGAACTGACCCCTGTTCCCTGACCTGTGCTCAATCCTGTACAGCTGTGCACCATTTCCTATCAAAGTGATGTTCCTCTGCTGCTTGCTGTCCTTTTCTGCCTTGCCTTTCTCCTCTCAAGCAGTCCAGCGTGTGTGCTGTGGCTTCCCTTCTTTATAGTAGTTGGCACAAATCCCTGCAAAGTAGGGCAAGTCATCTCATTGCAGGCCTTAGCATTGTTTATATTGATCCATGGATATCCGTCTTGGATCACTAATGGGCATCAAGTGCGAAAGGTAATAAATTTGTATTGCACTTGAATTCATCTGTCACTTGGTTCCTTTGGACCTGCTCCAGGATCTTGTTAAGAACACAAGACACTGATCATCTTAAAGGATGGGAGGGTATCTCTTCCCCATAAGCTGAGCAGTAAAGCCCACAGAAGAAGAGGAAGAGAGTTGAAAGAGATGCTGAATGGATTTAGTTGTTTAAGCTACCTTCAATACTGGAGAATAACTGCAGAAAACAGAGTGTAACATCCAGAGGTGTTCTTTCAGCTTCATTAGCAGATGTTGGGCAGCATGTAGGAGACCCATGTTCTTCCAGCACCTAAGAATGCTTTTGATGCTTTTCAACATCTGAGCCCCAAATCCACTTTAACACAGCTCTTTTCTCGCTGCTTTAAGACAAATCCATGTTTCAGACCCAGCTGCTTTGGTGCTCAGTGATCTTGTGTCAATCCTGGCCATGATTTGAGATGCTGTTTTGCCAATCGGTTCTGGTGCATTCTCATTTGCAGAAGACACCTGTCCCTTAATCATCACCATCCTTCGTCTGTCTCTTTTTGTTTCGGCTCTTTCTGACGCATGAGCTATTAACGTGATTTGAAGGGAAGCTCTGTTGAGCAGAGTGTGTGTGTTGGGAGAGGATGTTGAGAGAGATTAGTCACAAACTCAAGAATAATTTCCAGTAAGAGAGTAGGCATCGCCTTTGGTTTACTCTGGGTCCTTGACCTAAATCCCTCTTTAGTCCTTTGAGGTTTGTGCACTATCCAAGGATGGAGTAGCAGTCTTGGAGAGCTGGAGAGGGTAGCAGGAGAGTGGAGTTAAGCTCTGGTTTAGAAGAAAGGAGCAAGAGGAAGAGTAAAAAGCTGGTTTGGTTCTGTGTAACTCTGCAAGTGTTTTATCTGTTAAGCTCTTACTCTTGCCAGTTGTGTCTGTGATGTCGTATTCTGTTTGATTTCAGCATTTCCTCCAAGGACCCTCAGTTCTTCACAGATCTGAATTCTGTGCATGCTTTCTGTCCCTCTTTCCCCTGCCCTCCCCACCTCCACGCCAAAAAGCCAACACTGGGTGTAAATGATGGCCTCAGATCAGAATACGTCTTCACTGAGCGACGTGTGAAACCAAGGGTTCTCTCCTCTGGCCCCCTTCTGGGTTTGCTTTGGTTGTCTGAGAACACTTGTGATGCGAGGCATTGCCAATTTGCCTTGCAGATATCCTGAAACTGTCTCAAAAAAGGTTTCTTGGGGTTGTACCAGGCTTAAAATAGCTTGGATTCTGTTCTGTGGCTGACTCTGCTGGGGTCGACAGAGACCTTGAGGCTCTGCTGCCTGCCCCTTTGAGTCCCAGTTCTTCCCTTCTGGTGACACCTTTTCTTGAACTCCATGAAGAAGTCATGGAAAAGAGCAATGTGTAAATATTAATGTTGAATATTTGTCTTCAAAAATCCCTTCGAGATGCTCAACAAATCTATACTGTGTGTGCTGTGACTTTCTCAGTACTGCTTGCTTACAGCTTTTGGATCTGTCAGTATATTGCTAGCCCCTGGCATCCCACTGATGACAGGCAGGGCTCTCTTCTCTAACACCCATTTTGTCTCCCTGTCACAAGTAGCTTCTCTCAGGTCACGTTCAGACCTCAGTCAAGGTCTGTTACCTTCCTGCAGTAAAGCCTTTTCCCCTCTGACTGAAGCTCGAGTGCTTGGTGCCTGGGCAGAGATGAACTTGCTAAGAAATGCTGTTCTCTTCATATACATCTTAAGAGGGCAGCGAATAAAGATCTGCCTCCATTGGCAGTAGCTTTAATTTCCACACTGAGTGAAGTTTGTTCTTATCTTTATCTTTCCCCTCACTTTGCACAGGTTTTCAGCTTCCGAGTAAACAGCTTAACTGTTATGCTGCAGCTTCCTGCTGTAAAACAAGCAACTTAGTGTGGGGAAGTCAATGTCTTCCAGGCAGACCTGGCTCTGTTGCTGTTGAGCTTGGGACAAGCTGCTCAGTGTTAATGTGAGCCGTCTGGTCATGGCTATTGCTATTCAGACCTAAACTGATCAAAACCCTTACAAAGAGGCCTCAGTTTAATATTTAATGTTCCATAAGGCTGCACTGAGAGCTTGTACTGAAATATGTCAGTAAAGGAGTACTGGAGCAGTGATAGGAAGAGGCTGAGAGCCAAGAGGATCCTGTGCTCTATTCATGCCCAAGGCATGTTCTCTTGATACCAAGCAGCTTGCTTGACCCGCTGTGTCTCAGCCAACTTAGCTGTAAAATTAAGCAGCAAAGCAAGGTCCATGACAGGGAGGCATGTCTGGAGGTGAACTTGGAAGGCAGGCTTTGTTTTAGTGGTAAATTCATCTTGCAAACAGAATTTCAGGGGTTTAACCTGTGTGTTTTCTGTTGTGCTTCCAGGTGGCATTCACTCTCCTCCTGGGTCCTTTCACCTTCTTCAATGTGCAGAAGACCAAGTACCTTCAAATCATGACATCCCTCATGAGATGGATAGGTGAGTCTTGGCCACCTCTTTACCATAGATGGAACCTGAGGCACAATAACAATGCAGGATATTCTTGTTTGGAAGCAAGCTCTTGTTAAAACAATCTCTTTGAGGTTTGTCCTGATAAATCTTTGAGGAAAAGGGTTTTTATGCTAGGATGAAATTTCTGATTAAAACAAACCCAATCCAAATGTTCTCAATCGGATGTGAGCTGGTAGATGAAGTCTTAATCTGCTTTGTGTGAGAGGCAGAAGGGATTTGGAAGAGACTCCATGATACCCACCGGTTGCTGTTCAGCAGCAAGTTTCTCATCCTCTCAGCATGTGAGCAACAGCCTTTGAAGAACCTTTGTTTTGATCTGAGGACAAAAAGCACTTCTGTAAGACTTTCCACCCTTAGTTATATCATCTGGTTGCATGGTTTCGCTTTAGCATAGGATATCCTGCATTGGAAACCCCCAAACCAATGTGTGTTGTCCTTGGGAACCTCCACCCTTGTAAGTTCTCTTCAGAATCATCCTGCCAAGAACTTCTGGGAAGACAGATAATTCCTGTCATGAAATTAGGCATCACTGCTTTTCTTGTTCCCCCAGTGCTTTTGCCATCCTGAAGTGCAGCTGCCCCACATTTGGCTTGTATAAGTACATACACTTAGAGGCTGAGAGTGATGTGTGTGTTACAGAGGCCTGTGTTGAGGTTTCGCTTGTCTTGTGTAAGATGGACAGAGTAACTGATGTTCAGGGATAACAGGGAGCAGCATTTCTGCAGGTTAATCATCTCCTGGTTCATGGGTCCGGATGATTCAAGCACAGAATCAGCTTTCTTTATGCATATCACTGACCTGGAATAGGAGGAAAAGCTGCTTCTAAGCCCAATTCCCACCACACACATACACTTGACCTGACTTCAGTTGGGTATTGTCCCTTCTGTGTTAGTTCAGAGGCCTGTGACCCTGTTTGGAAGCGGCTGGCATTCACTGCAGAGGAAGAGATCTGTTCTGGACAACATTTGAGATGGGGTTAAGCAGTTATTACCCAGGAAAATGAGGCTGGATTTTAAGCCCTCAAGTCTCAGATGCCGAACAGCTTGAGTTAACAAATCCTGACCTCAGATGGTGTGAAAAGCCTGAATGTCTATTTATTCCTTTTGTTGTCTGAGCATAGGAAAGGTCAGAAAGCCCCAGTGTTCTTCAAAGAAGGAGGTTAGCTCATTGAGGGCTATTAAAAGAGGGGTTTTGGGTTTGTTTTTTAACAAGGAGTAATCTCAGCTCAGCTCCCTGGCCTGTTTCCAGTCACCCTGCCTCCTCTTTCCTGGTAAAGACATCAGTCAGACCTCATCCTGTCTCTGTGACAACCTGGTGTCTGCCTGATCTGCCGTTGTTTTCCCTTTAGCCGGCTCCTTCCAGTACGAGGACTGCTAAACCTTGGCGTAAAGGCAGAACTGTTTCTCTTTTTCATCTCTTGATGGAGAGAGACAAAGGCAGTGTTTGGAGAAGAGTAGGGGAAATTCATGTTTTAGCCTGATTGATTCCTGCGTCAGCACACAGGGGAACAGCTGCCCCAGATAATGATATTTAATGACCCTGACAGCACCTCAGTGGCTACTTAGAGGAGCGGATTCCATATGTGTACAATGAGGGATAGATTTATTAGGGAAGACAATTTATCAAACAGGCACATCATGAAGGGAACAGGAACAAAGATCTTGCTGCACATTCCAGGCTAAGGATGCATCCCATGCTGCAGGGATTTAGCAAGCTGGCTTCTCCCATGTCCTCACATCACTGATGTCCCCTCCTCCAGAAGCAGGGCTGTGAGTTAAACATAGGTTGGTCTTTTCTTGGTGTTTAGAGAGCTTAGATGCTAAAAAACAGTCTTAGATGGTGTTTTGTGGGCTCCTTTTCATGCCTGAAAGCCAGTGGCAAGATGTGGACTCTGTCTTACTCTGGGGCTTAATTCATCTTCCTTTAGTTAGTTTTAGTGCTGAAGGTGGATCTTCCTCAAAGCTGTCTGAGCAGCAGAGCTGAACACTGGAGCTGGCAGCCTACATGCTTGCTGTGCTGGGTTACAACTTCCCACACCGACAGTGGCTTAGCCAGCTTACCTGTGCTCACTGGCTTGGTGTGGATGGGAGGCTGCCACTCATTCTGCATCATGATTTGAAAGAATCCAGCCTGCTTGAGCTGGGAGGTCAGTGCAGGCTTTGTGATGTGCCTATTGCAGGACCCACTGTTGTACATGCTTTTCCCCAGCCTGATGAAAGAAAAGCCCCTGGATTTCAGAGCAGCAGTGGCTGATGTAAAGCTGCACTGCCCCAGGTGTAGCAGTGATTCAGATGACAGTGGCTGAGAGGATGGTTCTTGGCAGCAGGGAGAGCTAGCTGTGTGTGAAGGTCATTTCTGCTGGTGTTTGTAACAGTGTCAGCCTTGCCTTTGAAAGTTGCTTTCCCTCTTTCTCCTGATTTAAGTGATAACCAAATGTCACTAGCCTTGTCCAGAGCCTCGTGCTCACTGCAAGCTAATAAAGCCTACGGTCTCTTTCCACACCTCATGGACAAGAAGAATGTCATTCTGCCTGTGAAAAATACAATCTTAAACATTGGGATCTGAACTGGGAAAATAAAGCCAGGCCAGCTCAAAGAACATGGAGATGCAGCAATGGATCAGCCCTTCATCTGGCTGTGGGCTTCCTCCCAGGGTAAGGGACTAACAAGGACAGGCTGAAGTCTCTAAAGGGAGGAAGTTGAAGGAGGAGTTTGCAAGCCCAAGTGCCACACTGCTGCAGAACCCAGACAGATGGGCTCTCGTACATGGAAAGCTCATCTGGAAACAGGGCTGGCATGGCGAGGCTCTTCCCTGTCAGAACCATAGGAGCACTGAGGGTGGATCTGTGCCTCCAGGTGGAGTGGGGCTGATGGCAGACAGAAGGCTTCCAGAGGCATCGAGCTGTTGGCAGTCTTGTGAAGAGCAGCAGCTTACACACTTGGCTGCAGAACTGATTGCCACCTCGCATGGGTGAGTGCCAGTGGTTAAATTCGGTGCAGCAGTCCCTGCTTAACTGCTGGCCTCATCCATGCTTAGAGATCCCTGTTCTCTCTGTGTAAGGGTTTGCCTACATGAGCTCTCATCCCCTTCCCAACTGCAAACTGCAACTAAGGCTGCTTTGAAAGCCCTATTCTGTCTGAGCTGCCTTGGGAGACTGAGCACAGCACCCTGATGGGTGTGACAGGGAGCCTGTCTCCTGTGCTTCCCTGGAGAAAGGGCTAGCTGGGAAAAACCACTTGGTTTAAATCCTGGTAGTGGTGAAGCCTTGATTTAACTTAGGTATAAAATGTTGTCTGCTCCCCCAGCTCTTGAGCAATGCTATTAAGAGCAGAGACAGAGTCCAGACTGGTTGACCAGGTAAGTACAAGTTAGGGGTAAGGAGAGTTCCTTCTCCAAACTGTATTTAATTCCTTCCTTCCTTTACTTCCTTTCCCAGTCCTTTTTTACTAGTTTTGGAGCCTGTTTCTAGGTCTGTTACAAGGTTCTTGGAATGGGTTGTCTCCTGCAGAACACTAAACCAACTAAGACATCTATAAATTAGAGCTGTTGGTATGTTCAGTTTTGCTGTTTGGACTTCAGGCTCATTTGTCCTGGAGGATTTAAACCGGTGGTGGTGATGGATTGCTCCCTAAAGAGACTTGAATGTCTAGCTGGGGTTTTATCCCTCCTTTCCCCAGTCCTGATCCAAGTGGGTGGTGTTAAGGGTGAGCTGCTGGAGGCAGAGCACAGCAAAAGGGACTGAGTCTGATGCACTTCTCAAAACAGAGAGGACACAGCCTCACCTCTTTATTATTGGATAATATGGGATAACAACTGACTAGCAGCCTCATGGGAAAGGATACGGATTAGGAAAGATAACAAAAGGACAGGGCTTGGTGGAGCTCAGCAGCAAACATTGGGCTATTGTGTATTAAGCAGCTAACCCGATTAATTGCAGCCTGTTACAGCCCGAGATGTCCAGCTCTATAGGTGAGGACTGTTGGCTTTCAAGACATTGTAGCGTGATTATCACTGCTGTTACTGAATAGCCTCTGGCACATGTTCCCAGACAGCTCCCATGTGGGCCATGAGCTCCATGTGCTGCTCTTGATGCTGTACTGTAGTTATTAGAAAGTATTGTATTTTAATAAAGAGACATTTTACTGAGGTAACTTCTGGGTTTGGTTGCTGGAAGCTCCGTTCTCTGTGTAGTACAATCAGATCATACCACAGCTATTCAAGTAACTGCAGCCCTTGAGACAGAGCATTCCCAGCCCTCTGATCTCACAATTACATGCCCAGAAATAAAACCTCTCCCCTTGCTCCTTCCCCTGGTCAGTAGAATGGAGGGGAAAAGGACAAGAATAGCCAGGCAGCCCTGTGTTAAACTGTCTCCTTCCCATCCTCTTCCAGGATACTTGGTAGAAGGTTTCTAGGGAAGAAAGCAGCACGCTGCTGGGACTGATTTTCCTCATCTACTGATTTCTCTGATAGATGTTTGCTCCACCAGAATCCTGCTTTTTACAGGCTCCCTGACACCTCTCTGCAGAGAACTGGTCTTGGACCATCTCCCTTTGTGAGCAGGTTTCAGCTGCTGTAGTAACTATTGCTGCCATCCTTAGGCTTCATCAGCCGTGCTGGAGTTGATTCAGTCCAGAAACCTGGATCACTCAGCTTCATCCTTTCAGCTGCAGAGAGAGAGAAGGCTGATGCAGGAGTGAGTAACCATTACCTGGAGTCCTGGGTATCCAGGCTTCTGCAGAGAGGTCTGTCTGCAGTGTCCACAGTCCTCAAGGTGGCCTCTTTCCTGCATCAGAAATTAAGCAAACCCCTTAAGGAGGGGCCACTTTGATCTCTGCCCCTTCCCTTTCACAGATCAGGGCACATGGGAGAGGCAAGGACAGGGGAATTGGACTGTAAATCAGGACACTGTTGCATGTTCATTCCAACGAGCTTCTTCAACAAAGTTAACTTCGTGTTCTCGCATC